TTTGCAAGAACTTTCACCATAACATATGTTATGTTGATCATTTTTTTGTGATCTGCAACAGTGTCCACTATGCTGTGAGGTATACTATTTTTTATTGCATTGTATTTTTTTATCATTTAATTGTTTTTATAAATATTGACATGTATTGCTTCTTTACTTAATAAAATGTCTTATTGAAATCAAACTGTGGAAGCAGATCTTGTATTTATCATAATAAATGATTGGTATTGTTTTTGCTTTTCAAATCAACATTAATAATAATAATATTACAATTGCAAGAAGATGTCAAGGCAATACAACTGTTAAAAAGATGGGGGAAGGAAGGGAAAAGATTCTATATGTGACATTTTCATAATTGTACACTTCACAGACATCAAGGCACACATACTACCTTGAGCACTTTGCAGTTATACTTGCACATTCCTCATGTACACAAGGCTAATCTGACCACAGTGCCTCCAATGATATTATGATGCAATTAAACCCAGGGAGGGGCGCAAGGCTCTGGGATTTATTGAGATTGCAAGGACTCTTTTCACTCATCTTTTCCTCATACCACCTGACCAGAGAAGACTGCTGATATGCTGGCCAAAGTTGATTGCAATGATTCTACCTCAGGGGTAAAGATGGCTGGATGTTACAGCAGCCTGGGTTGAGGAGTTGTGAGAGAATGACTGTAAAGTGTTCAAGGTAGCGTGTGTGCTTCAACGCCTACCAATTTCCGATAATCAAACATTGCATATTTGAATTGTTTCTTTTTCAACTGTGTATTGCTTGACATCTTCTTGTAATTATATATTAATAATAATATTATTATTACAATTAAATATCAATCATTCGTTCCCGGTTCTCGAAATGGCATTGCAGCCCAAAACAAGGGTGAAATTATCACAAATCTTATGGCAAATGGTACAAGAAACCATAATAATGTCGTATTTACATTTCCAAATGGCACTGCCATTGGAGCATGGGTTGGTCAGATAAATGTGAACATACCATGGTATGAATGAAGGTTGATTTCATGTTTTTCATATTCTTTAGCACCAACTTAGCTCAATGCTTCCTTTTTATTTGCTAAAGGGCAATGAATCAACCAGGCATTCCAAACGTCTGCACTTCAGTCACCAGGATTAACCGGATTATTGAATGTGATGAATGTGACACATGCACACCCTCAACCGCATTTGATATTGAGTACTTTTCATATTGTTTTTAATCGTTAATACTGCAAGTTTTACTGGCATTTGATTTCAAACATATTGTATTGTTTTGCTAAAAAGGTCTAAACTTGTTAGTATTATAGATCTAATAATGCTTGTCGATCAATGTAATGCAAAATAATCCAGAAAATATATTTTATTTGCAATTGATGAATGAAGAAAAAAATATATTAATAAAATGATATAATAAATCTTTGCAAGTTGTTTTTAACCGAATCGAAATTGCTACAGGTGCATCGTTTTCTTTAAAAGCAATTAAAATTTAGATTAACTATATAGTAAAATAATTTATTCCCTTAATACATCAAATCATAATGAATTTACCTTAATTTACATTAAGAGCTACTTGTTGTATGTGATATAAGTCAATAACAAAATTTTCGCCAACAACAGTATCGGGTAACACTGCAGTATAGTAATAGTCTTCAACATTTGGAGCTTTGCCCAAAATTGGGGATCCCAAAAGACGTCTCTAACAGGAATATTTACTTGAAATGCATTAATATTCGGAGCATTACAACTAATTGGTGTATGTGTATAATGATATATTGTTCCGCATTCCCACTATCATTTGCAAAAATTATTTTAATCCAGATGTCTGATTATAAAAATACAACACTAAATTAATATTATTACCTCTTTGCTATATATTCCATTTCCTGCTAAGGTTGCATTTGAGGATAATACACCACCTGGTAGTGCTCAACGTGCCCACAATCTTGCCTAATATAGAAAAAAAAATCATAAATTTGAAACTAATCGAATAATGAATAGATGTTAAACATATGGTACATACTACTATTGGCTGATGAACAATTCTTTTATTTATTTTAGGATAAAGTTTAACTCCAAATACACAGCGGACGTATTCCTCCTGCATCCACGTTTCACACCTTATGTTCCATAAGCCAATTTTTTGATTATTAGCAACTTCGCAAATTACTCTTGCATAGGAATTTCCCTGTGTAAATTTTAGTATTATTAGAAATTGTCTTAAAAATAAGTATTATTATAATGAAATATTAAAGTCACCACGGGGAAAACCAGGATATAGATTTTCTCGTTGTACAAGACTCTCCCTCGGACGAACTGCAATGTCTGGGGCTATTTTTTCTCCAATTCCGATCGGATTGTAATGGTATATTGGAAAAAATTTGTATTTTTATTACAAGCCCCAGAAAAATAAAATTAAATGAAAATCTCTTCAAGGTTGACCAAAAACTATTATCGGCCCAAATTTAACTCTATTATTCGGTTCTTTAAAGCAATCTTAAAGAAATAATATAACATCTTCATGTGATGCGTACGCCATTTCAATAATATAGACGCTTTTTTTATCAAAGTAAGATTTACATCCTGACGATTTGTTACGATCAAGAAAATCGTTATACTCTTTAACCGAAATGTTCTTCCCGATCTGAAATGGCAAGCTGAATACAGTACAAGTTAACAATGAATAGCTCTTAAAGAAACATGCGTAAGTCACACTTACCATTCATCTTCTAAATGAAAATCTGGCAGTTTAGGGTGTCTATGGGGCAAGTTACCTCGAATTTTGTTTGCTATCCAATGAGCCATACTTTACAAAATAAAAAATGAACCTTTATGACTTTTATGATTTTTATGATGTAAATTATAATCACACGTGATTACCTGTGAGACTTGAATCATAAGAAATAATTTATAATAATATAATTATTGACAAATTTGCCGGATAGAAAAATTAATTAGGATAGCATTCCGCATTTATCTGAAATAATTATGCGTCATTACCAGCAAACCGAAAATTGTTTAGATGCAAAGAATTCTCACTACGCGAGAAGGATATTTATTATAGGTTGAAAATTTTAAATGTTTGATTAACGAAATTCTTAATTTTTGTATTCTTTCCGGAATAACCACCATACTTCAAGTAGGGAAATTCCATTATCTTGACAAATGCATCTTTTTAGACAATCACGATTAACTATATTTTGATATCTTTATACCAGCTAGTATTATGAAACCGGTGTTGGCTTCCTTGTACTTGTAACGCGATTTGGTATTTTTGAAAATTCTAATCCATTAAAAAAAGGAGGATGATATTCAATTATCGGTTTTTCCAAACTTGGTAAAGCACCTGCTGTACTTGCATGATAAATTAGAACGATCTGCAACCCAACCTTTTTCTCATCAAATCTTAAAAATTAAATTGTTGAAATATTAATAATGTCCGATATCAAAGAAAACACTTTTAAATTAGAAATTGATGATGCATTGAATAAAACGGGCATTGATCGTTATGAATTAATGTGAGTATTTTTCTTTGTTGAATTGTAATGTATCTGAAGTTACGCTGCCACTAGGATTAAAAATGGAGAACTGGAAGCACTTCATGGCCACATCTTGTGAAAGTTACCAGTTGGATAACCAAGTCCAATTACAATATACGGTGGATGGCCTGTTGTGAATGCTATTGATTGTTGGCTAGGTTCCGGGATAGCGTTTCTTGACAATGATGACACAAGTGCTCACTATTTTTTATTATTATTATTTTTTTACAATTTATAGCGGTGGTGCTGTAGATTTTATCGGAGGGGTCAGGAGAAACACTGTTTTAATACAATGTAAAAACAAAGCAAGCGTTGGTAAATTATTATAAATTATTTTTATTATATTTTTTTCATCTTGTTGTTATAATTAAATTTTTTATTATAAGGGGCGGGTGATGTACGTGATTGGGAAAATGTTCTAGCTAAATATAATCGACTTTCTACTATTGGTGTTATAATAGCACCGTCTAAAAATAATTTTACTTTTGAAGCAAAAAAAGAAGCCAAAGCATCTGGCTACAATATTATCCTGACGGATAAGTTTCATGTTGGTCCAGATGTAGAATTGTTCGTTGACAGAATCTCTAACAGCAGCATTAACAATTGTCTTTTTTATATAAACACTTTATATTATGTGTATATTTTAATTATATTTTTACTAATAATTGCTAATATTATATTATTGTTTTTATCATTCATAAACTAAATTGAAATAAAAGCCAAATTATTAAAAGTAACGATTTTTATAATTTTCATATCTATTTTTGATTATTATTGATTGTTTTATTCTTTTTTAATTTATTTATATAAAACATATACAAAAAATTACATGTATTTATTCTTATTTCTTCTTTTCCTGGCATCATTGTTTAATCATTATTAGTTACATTTATCATTGCAGATAGGAATAAACATAAAAGAAAAATTTATTATAATAAACCATATCTATATGGTATTTAATATTATTTATTTTAAATAAATGATTTTACTATAAAAGACATGAAACTTTTGCTTATTATATAACCTGCTAAACTTTTCTTTGAAAAAGGTTGCAATAACCAATCTTCTATATTTTTTTCAAGTATAAATTTGGGAAAGTGTTAGAATCCGCTGATATGTATTTCTTCGTGTCGTCCCTTTATAATATTAAGATTTTGTATTTGAATTCTTCTATAACCTTCCGGAAATTTTTATTATAGCTAGAGAACACAAAGATGAAAACACAGTCACTGAAATTTATAAAGATCTTCTGGAACTTAAATAATTCGACTCCTTTTATGTGTCTAATTTTAACCATTTTGATTGTAATCTGCCATTTATTCAATTTACCTCCAACACTTTGGAATAAATGCGATGAAAGGTAATGCTTCCTTTATCTATCCCGCAAAACTTTTACTCGCACGGTATTTTTGTGAATTTATTAAATTCTTTCTGCAAAGGATCAATAAAGCAGCGTCTGACCAGTCGGTCGGTAGGTTGCTTGAGATTTTATAAATTCTCAAATATGAATCAAATTCAAAATAGATTTCATCGTTATTTGCTATACAGAAACCTAAGGATTGGAAAAGGCCTGTTAAAGATAAATTGAAAGCAGGAAAAAAAGTATGATCTAGTCGGGGAATAGGTACAAGAGATTAAAGAGCAATCAATAGTCAAGGTTCAAATTTTTTTTTTTTTTTGGCTAGAATTGTAAAAAAACATGTCTATGAAATGTAAAACTCGACATACAACACCCTCAATCTTTTTCTTTTTTTGGTGTTTCCTTCTTTCTAGAACAGGTGTTGGAAAACTCTATTGAATGTGTCCGCCAACACTATGATTCGAAAGTACTTTAAAAAAAACCGTGACCGCCTCTCACCATTAATAGAAAATGTAAAAATGTAATAATAGAGAATTAAATTTAAATCCAAATAAGGAAACTCAATCACACCGCGGAGACACATTTTTGTCATCGCGTTAATATGATCAAGTACTTAATATTAGTATTAGTATTAGTATCAGTGTCAATAGATAACAACTTTTTTAAAAAGACATGTTGAAAGAAAAAGTTCAAGTTAGGGTTGTAGAGTGAAATGCATCTATCTAATCAATTAACCAATTCTACTAACAACAAGTACTTTGATTCAAGATTTAGAATTAGGCAACTCGCAAAATGAGTTACTTCGACAAGTATTTCAACTGAACAAAAGCACTTCAGCTTCAGCTCAACGAAATAAATCAGCTCGACAAAGTGAAAGTGAATTAGCTCAACAAAATGATTTAGCCCAAGTAAAAAAAAAAGTGAATTAAAAGAACAAAAAATATTAGCTTCTTTAGCCCAAGAGGAAAGAACATTGTGTGATAAAATGACCAAGGAGCAGAAAAGCACTTTATTAGGATTACTTGAGAAAGGAGGGAAGAGGGGAGAGCAACAAGAACGAAAAAGAGGTGTAGGTTATTACAAAGACATAATATATTCATTATTGGATTTTTGCTAAAACTAAATTTTACGGGTTTTTTCCCTAAATAGGAACTTTATACAAGTATTGTGATGGCTATCTTTATAATTAATTTACTAAGAATTTAAATGTTGTGATTTGTATTACTTTAGCTTTAGATGTGAACTAACACTTTTTATCAAAGATTATTTATTGGTTTCTTTCTCGAATCAGCATCTTAGTTCAGCGTATGAATAATATTTTCTAATGTCATGGTAAAGAAAATAAGAAAATCACACAACTACACAAATTTATTTGTATTCAAAGCTGTATTTTAAATTTATAATTATTTCAAGAATCGCTTGCTTCACATGTTACTCTCCAATTTCGACTCCCTTTACCAATAATGTATAACATTGTCAATACATGTTCACCAATACTTTTAAATAACAAGATGGATCATCTAACTCTTTTTTTTTTCAGAAATTTATTACGTAGGGCCCTGTAAAACAATTTCGCCGAGAGCTTTCTAGGCGCTGCAAGGTGGCGGTGAATGTTGACGAGTCCCGTTCGTACTTTCTCGATTTGTTCTTTGTGTGATTGGTGGTTTGATAAGCATCAAAAAATTCTAGTCTGCCAGCCTGTCCGACACATTTGGAATCGAGATGTTAATGCTGCTGCCCGTAACACACAAAACATTTTTTTGCACATGAAGATAGAGAGACATGATCCGTTTATAAGCGGGCTTATTGGCCTCAGCATATTGGAAATTTGCTGTTAAACAAAATATTATACAGAACCCATTGCTCCTAAAACTTCACACCAGCATGTAGTTGTTGCCTCTCTAAATTAGAGATCAAAGTTCAGATCCAATTCAAATCCAGTTTATCACTTTACTTTTTATTGCCAGAGTATTGTAAAGTTACGTTGCACAATATAAAAAATTAATGTAACATTTCAAATTTCCTAAAAAAAAAAATCCTGTAAAATTCTACAAATAGCATCGATAACAACGTTGAAATGGAAAAACATTATGAGAATGAGGAGAGTGAAGCGTCGGTAGAAAAAGAAGAAAGAGAAAAGGTAATAATAATACCTAAAAGGAGAAAATTACAACTCGTGTGTTCTGATTCAGAACAAGAGGAGAAGGAGCCAAACTTTACCGTTGAAGGTATTATTAAAATAAATAATTTTTTTTTTCCAAATGAAAAGCAATCTTTATTGTATAAACCAAATTATAACAAAATTCTCAAAAAGTAAAAATGTATTTACAAAAACTTCTGGTAAATATTTTATAATGGCAAAGAAACAGAAATTAGTGAATCGAAAATATCTGATCAAAAGAATAGGGATGAAAATATTGATCCAGAAGAATCATTTCTTACAGAGAAAAAGGAGGATGATGAAGTTGATGATGAAGAGATTAGTGAACTTGAACACGAGCCTAAACTATCAACCCAATCATCTGCTCCAAATAAAATGGAAGATGATCTTAGTGAACTCGAACTCGAACCATTAAAAAAGAAAAGATCTAGACAACCTAAATCATCCACTTTAAATAAAAAGAAAGATGATAACGGCGAACTTGAAGATGACTCTAAACCACCAGCGAAAAAAAGATCTAGAAAAACCAAATCATCCACTCCAAATAAAAATAAAGTTGATAGTGATGAACTTGGTACAAAAAAGAGACCCAAACAAACTAAATCATCTGCAAAAAAAAAGAACGATGAGGATATTATTGATAGTGATGAACTTGGTGAGCTTGAAGATGACTCTAAACCGCCAGCAAAAAAAAGATCCAGACAAACTAAATCATCTACTCCAAAGAAAAAGAATGACGAAGATATTATTGATGGTGGTGAACTTAAAGACGATCTTAAACCATCAACAAAAAAGAGACCTAATCAAATTAAATCATCTCCTACTAAAAAAAAGAATGAAGAAGACATCATTGATAGTGATGAACTTGGTGAACTTGAAGATGACTCTAAACCACCAGCAAAAAAAAGATCCAGACAAACCAAATCATCTACCCCAAAGAAAAAGCATGACAAAGATATTATTGATGATGGTGAACTTGAAGACAACACTAAACCATCATCAAAAAAAAGACCTAAACAAACTAAATCATCTCCTACTAAGAAAAAGAATGATGAAGATATCATTAATAGTGATGAACTTAGTGAAGTCGAAGACGATCCTTTACCATTAAAAAAGAAAAGATCTGGACAAACTAAATCATCTACTCCAAAGAAAAAAAATGACGAAGATATTATTGATAGTGATGAGCTCGGCGAATTTGAAGACGACCCTAAATCATCAATGATGGAAGGATCTGGACAAACTGAATCATCTATTTCAAATAAAAAGAATGACGATAGTGATGAACTTAGTGAAGTCGAAGACGATCCTATACCATTAAAAAAGAAAAGATCTGGACAAACTAAATCATCTACTCCAAAGAAAAAAAATGACGAAGATATTATTGATAGTGATGAGCTCGGCGAATTTGAAGACGACCCTAAATCATCAATAAAGGAAGGATCTGAACAAACTGAATCATCTATTTCAAATAAAAAGAATGACGATAGCGATTCACTTAGTGAATTTGAAGATGATCCTATACCATTAAAAAAGAAAAGATTTAAACAAACTAAATCATCTACCCCAAAGAAAAAGAATGAAGAAGATATTATTGATAGTGACGAACTTGGTGAATTTGAAGACAACCCTAAATCATCAATAAAGGAAGGATCTGGACAAACTGAATCATCTATTCCAAATAAAAAGAATGACGATAGCGATGAACTTAGTGAAGTCGAAGACGATCCTATACCATTAAAAAAGAACAGATCTGGACAAGCTAAATCATCTACTCCAAAGAAAAAGAATGATGGTGATAAACTTGAAGATAATCCTAAACCATCAACGAAAAAAAAGCCTCGAAAAAATAATGACAAATCAGTGAGTAAAATAATTAACAATAAAGATTGATTATAATATAATTAATATATGAAATTTACTTTTTTTTTCTTAGTCAAACAACAATAAAGAAGAAATAACAATTAAAAATTTGAAATCCTTTATTGTAAAATGTGGAGTTCGTAAAATCTGGTAAAGTTATTTAATACTTCTTCTTCTTAACCAATTAAAAACCTCAATATAAATATATAATATTAATTCAATATAATCTTCAGGTCCAAAGAGTTGGCAGGATGTGATGATACAAAAAGTCAAATTAGGAAATTAAAAAAAATTCTCGTGGAATTAGGGGTGGAGGGTGAGTTATTTAAATTTTTTTTAAAAAATAAGCCTATCCCAAACACTAAGATATATATATGTATATATATTTTTTTAAAGGACGACCAACAAACGAAAAATGTAAGATAGTAAAAAATCATCGTGATCTAGAAGCAGAATTGAAATCAATGGATATTGACAACATTATTTCTGATGATGTTAAAGAATCAAGGAAAGCACGAGCGTCTATGGGACCATTTAATCTTACTGGTTAAAGTATTAAGAATGGAAAGGTTGGTTTATAAAGAACAATTTGCTTTTTTAAATGAATTATTTTATTTTATTTTTTAATTGTTTTACTTTTTCAATATACCTTTCATCGTTATAAATTGAAAATTGATTTTTCTTTCATCTGTAAATGATATTTTCATATTCCTTATATCAGCTTGAGGATATTTATTTACTAAATATGAACATTGAACAAGAAATCTATCAACAAATATTAATAATAATTTTTTACTCAAAGAAAGCGAATAAAATATAATAGATGAGCTTTATTTGTCTTTTATTGTTATTAAAGATCAGATGAATTAATCTATTGTAAAAACCAAAAAAGTACTTTAAAATTTTGAATGATTCTTAAAAAAAAAACTTTTTTGTTACATACTCTTGGTATATGTGAAATTACACGTACAGGTATATATAACTTCCAGGACCATTATAGATTTTAATACATAATTATTAATATTAAACTTAATTTTTTAAAAAAAAACTTGATTTGGTTTTAATCCTCTCGTTAGACTCATAAAGGTTTGTCTTTTCATCTCTATCACGTTTATCGTTAATGTTAGACGTTGATGATGATTATTTGGTTTTAATCCTCTCGTTAGACTCATAAAGGTATGTCTTTTCATCTTTATCACGTTTATTGTTAATGTTAATTGAGTGATAATTGCTACAGTGCGGATCATCTATACTCAAAAGTTAAAATTTTTGAAATATTATGTGATCCACACATTGGATTTTTAAAAA